GAAAATGGCAATCTTGTCACTTATTGCTCCTCCCCACCTAGTACGGCAGATAGATGTGTCTTTGATGATACCACCATGGAATTTGGCACACAGTCAGAGTATATCATGAGAAAGATATCTAGCAAAAGGACCATCGCATATTTCTGTCCTTTGAAAAAAATATAGGTAGAATAGCAAGCAATGGCAGCCATTTTGAAAAGTATGAAAATTGCTTATTCCACCTATATTTTTCAAAGGCCAAATCTGCGGTGACCCTATAGCCAAATATCTTTCTTAAGACTTACTCTTTCATCAATGGCACAGTTCCCCCAAATAGTCCCCCTATCTGCCCCGCTAACCCAGGAGTAAATGGGTACGTGTGAGGGCAGAGTTGGTTGTGTTGAATTAGCTGTGACAACATTGAAAATGGAAACATGGAACTGTAAACAATTGCCTTGCAGCCATCTTTGGGGTACGTGCTTTTGTTCCACACGGGTATACGCATGATTAGATTTCCTGCGCATCCATCGTGACTAAGTTAATATAATAGGAACATAACTCGAAGATGGCAGCTGAATGCACATGGTTTGTGCTTCCAATGGAGGTTGTCTGTGGAATATTTGTTTATGATATACAACCTTGAGCGAAAAAAAGCTGTTGGGTATTATGTTTATAATCACGTTTTACAACAATGAAAGTTTGACTTTCACGTACAGGTTTCATTATTATTGGAAACCACAATTTAAAGTATAAAGGTTGACTTACATTAAACGCCTGGCTATTGGCTAATCTAACATTGCACTGAGTCCGCTCTGGTTGCATGCATGGCCGGTGTAAAGTAAATCAAGACTTATTGGAAACGGTAAATGCAAACACAGTTTATTTTAGAATAATAAATCACGCAACAGGCTTCACTGACAATAATAGAAAACATTTCTAATTGTTGAGCCCGGTGCGCGGCGTCTTTTTATCGTCAGACACAGACTATAAACCGTTGTCCGCGCGACGTTCGAAATGGAATACAGTCTACAGTAAAATGTTTGATATTACAAAACCCTCGCGTCCTCAAAATTTTAATGGCTAGGTACAAGGTTCGTCTGCCCCACAGCTTTGTCTAAATGGATATTGGTCTGGTGGGCGGGTTGCCGGGCATTCCAAACCATCTTATCTCGGTTGATTAAAGGTTAAACTATATGCTTGATTCTTTGTTATTAATCTTCCGGATTAAGTATCAACGGACTGTCCAGTGCAGAAGCATTTGAGAACGGGCAGACGAAAATGTTCCCGTTTCTCTGTGTTTACACGTCGGTCTCCTTAGTGGGGCAGATAGGGGAGATATTTTGGGGAATTATTCCTTTGATGATACAGGAATGACATGTGGCAAGCAGTCAGAGTGTGTCTTATAGAAAGATATTTGGCTATGGGGCCATCGCATTTTTGTCCTTTGAAAAGAATAAAGGTAAATAACAAGCTATTTTCAAAATTTTCAAAATGGGTGCCATTGCTTATTATTCTAGCTATATTTTTTTTCAAATGACAAATCTGCGATGGTCCTATAGCCAAATATCCTTTTCATGACATACTCTGACCGCGTGCTGATGTTATTATTTCGAATGCAATTTTGTTCGCAGTTGTTTATTTCGAAGGAGACATTGATTTGCTTGATTCACGTATTTCCTGCCACTCGAATTAATGAACAAAATATACAGCAAACAAATTTGAAACAAATGTTGTTAATATTCCTGAATGTTATTGCACTGGCGGAGGTTTTATGAAACATCATGTTGGTAATGAGTCGATTATGGACACATCATGGTAACGGGTGATCGCCACAAGCGCACGCCGTGATTTTGTGGAAATAACAAAACGGTTTAAGCTTTCAAAAGATTGAGCTTGATTACGTTCGCAGCAAAAGAATGATCTCAGCGGGCAATGACATACATTTGCCCAACTATCCGTCGTATTAATGGCTTTAGGATGTTTGCTTCCATTTCATCAAATCTTATTTTAAGACATATCGGGTATATTCGGCTCTTTATAGCAATCCATCAGGCTCAATACGACTGTGTCATTTGGGAAAATTTTATGGGGGTCATAAAACTATCTCTACTTTGCTTTGGCAGCTTAAAAGGGCTCGTGGAAACCTAATCATGATAAAGTGTACATCAGTGAAAGGCAAGCCCAAAGAAAACGCCATCGTCTGAAATTATACTCGGATGAAACGTGATACTTCTGACATTAATCAATGAGAGCACTCGTCTGTAACAGCAATAAAGAGCAGGCGCTCCATTCACAACCACTCCGATTCGATTCCATGGATTTATCAGAGAATCGATAAATGATACGTACATGTAGTGTACTTTCGAGTCCAAAGGTGGAGTATCAACAAATAAATAATCGATCATGTCCGATAATGGGATGGAGTACCGAGTACAAAATGCCGAGTTCGGGTGCGATCCGAGTACAAGAAGCCATTATTGCGTGTGGAGTCCATTTTTTTTGTTTTTCTCGAGTACTGAAAATCGAGTTCGGGCCAAGTACTCACCGGTACTCGTGTTGTACTCGAGTACGAGTACTAGTACTCCAACACTGGTGTGGATAAACTCTTGTTGTACGTACTTTTTTGCCAACTGGAAGATAATATTTCTGGACCAAAGAGAACATTTCTGGTCTTAAGACATTCTGGCTTCCTAAAGCCTCTAATCTCCTCAACACAAAACCTAGCTGCAAAGCTGTAAGTTACAGACCCAAAACCCACATCTTGTGATGTTGCGTTGAAATCGTAGTACATGTATACCAGGTCATTCGATCACGATGTGCCTCTGTACATAGTGACTTAATACAGTTCGGATTGCCGCTCCATTCGTCTGGAGTGCCACTCAACCGTACTGCCTTAATTTTTGACTGCTGCACTCTGTAATCATCAACATGTACCGCATGTCCTCGACCACAGCCCAGTTTCAACAAGTCTCAGTATAATACAATTTTCAAAGCGCCTGCTGAACGAACCGTATACACCGCAGTCCTCTGCTTAATGCAATTATAAGGCATCGGTTGCTAAGGCAGAAGCCCTTCTCTCCCCTCTCTCTCTCTCTTGATGCGGAGGCGCAGCATGAATTTTCGCCTGGAAATTAATTTTCTTGGGCTTGGATTACCGTGTGGGATTACGATCTTTCGGATCGATAACGCAGCTTTTCCCATACATGCTCACGGTGTCGGGGGATTTTTTTTTAGGGAAGAGAGTGACATTTCATGTGTCGTGTTACTAGGTCGAACGGTGACTTGTTTGCATTGCATTTCTTCTGTTCTGATGTGAAGGAAGGATTAATTTGCCCAGAGTGTCGCAGAGACTTTGTGATTCGTGTGTCAGCAAATAGGCTTACCAAGCATGTACTCACGGGTGATCAAATGTTCTTCTTACATATGGAACATTTTCATTATTAAAGAATTATTTAACATTAATCTTTTTGAATGGTTCTATCCATAACAGTCGTGTACTTTTTATAATGCAGATTATTGGACATGCCCAGATGCAAACGAACATTCGAACATTCTATAAAGATAACGGATTGATTTTGCTGTAATTTTCAGAAATGGACTGATTATTGGGTTAGTATTCTATAGTAAATATCGTTTTACTGACCCGTTTAAACTTTTGTTTTCATGGCTGCGAAAAAAAGAAAAAGAAAAAGAAAGATTTTCTTGTAGTATGGTTCCCTGATCCGACGCTTCAGACGATAGCAGAACCATTTATAGACGTCAGGGAACTGTAGCTGTGTCCCACTACCCGAAGTTGTCCGTTACGAAGCTTTTCAGGTACCTTTGGTAGTTGACAAAAGATCGAAGCATCCGCGTATAACATCCATCAAGATCCCTTTATGTGGACTTGGAGACGCACCATACGGGAGAACTGATTCCATCTTCAACTCTTTCTTCGGGTTAGATCTCCATACAGTCCTCATCCTGCATGTGCCATGCCTGCCAGACTTTAAAAGCTTTCCTCATCTTTAAGTCCTTCTCAAATGTCTCATCAATTCATCAATGCACCAAGGTACATGAAGTCATCAATCACTCTATCTGTTTTCCATTTCTTGCTATCAGCTCAGGGGTGCCGCGGTAAGCTGGTATTTCATAATAATTTGATAGTTTCGTTTTTTAAAGTTTGCAAATCAAATTAGGTTTTGCCCTTCACCGACGCATAAACACTGTATACTCAGTGTGTTACCTCCCGAGTAAAAAGTTGGAAAAAATCACCCGGGTGGGACTCGAACCCACGACCTCCTGCTTTCTAGTGCAGATGTCTTACCACTCGACCGCCGAGCTAACGGGATCGGTTGGATTTTTGCAAATGTTGTACATTACCTTTAAATCTACAAGGTGATATTAGTCACGGGATTAATGAGATATGTTCTGATTCAAAGTATCTGCGAATCTGTCGAAAAAGAAAATTATAAACTGCACCCGACGTTTCATGGCTAGTCCTTAAAATCCTTGATGGTTCCAGGCCTGCCAGTGTTTGCCCATTATGCTAATTTAGATATGGAATTGTTCCAGGCCATTCAAGACTGATTTGCAAACACTGCCTCTTCCTTGGGGAAGGTTACTAATTTCATTTTTTTTTCTGTTAATGGAGTTCCCAATTGAAATGCATATTTACTTAATTGTAGTCTGACCTGTCCCATACTGGATTTTGTGTGAGTAGGCTTCACAGGAGATATTAGTACAGACTATAATTGGAAAACAACATTCCTGTTATTAATTAACGAATAATTAATGTCTTATTTCAAATGAATAAAAAAAAATCAACACTCACTCATGCTCTAGTTGATGCATCTTCGTCTTCTCCATCCGCCTTTGAGACGTAGAATCACGTGACGATTCCCAGCTGAAGACTGGAACGTGCACTTGGCACGCGCATGCGCATTTCAGACCAGCAGCTGGCTGTGTGCGTGGCTTTTAGCGACGACCCAAAGGCTTCTCAATGAAACAGCATTGTGCGCGCACATACAAAACGACACGTGTTGGCCGTCGCACGCTCACTCTTTCCGTAGCTAGTCTCGGCCCCTCTCAATAGGCGGAGCAGTCGCTCATACCTCTGATGTGCCTTTCTGCCACAACCTCGATTCCTTGCTTCATGTTTTGCTGCCTAGGTGGGCTCTAGCTCTATCACGATCTCCCAAAGATTTTCTGCTTCTGAACGATTCCTCGTAATTGTTTAATCCATCTGCATCTGTCGCTCTCTTGGGGCCTTTTTCCTCCGTTGTGACACTGGCTCGATTCGACAGTCCTGAGTGAATTTATCGGCAACTGAAGCCATGGCGGAATTGGAATGCCTGAACAACTGCACGGACTCTGACCAGCCTCAGCAGAGTGCGTCGGCCGTGCTGTTCCCCATCGTCATGATCCTGATCGCCGCTGTCGGGATAACTGGTAACTCCCTGGTGCTTCACATCATCTTCCGCCACCGCGACATGCGGACTGTCACCAACAGTTTTGTGGCCAGCTTGGCGCTGACGGACATCGCCATACTTGTCATCTGTGTCATCCCGACAGCCACGCTCCACGTGACCAACACTTGGGAGCTTGGCGATTTCTTGTGTCGGGCTGCCAGCTACACGCAGGCGGTGAGTAAAAGTCTTCTGGTTAGGCCTACATTATTTTCTTCACCAAGCCTTCAAACAAACAGATTCGATACCATAAATATTAAAGCATTTCACAAAGTTTTGCAGATGTACTGAGTATACGTGGCGTACGTGGCGCCATGAAGTTTCAAATTTATGCAACGATTAGAGCTCTAAATTCTCCGCTACATCTCGGCGTTTGAAGTCAGGCTGTTTAAAATGAATTCACTTTTTAAAATTGACATTTTCAAGAGTATGGTGTAGGCCAGCTATATGGTTCAGAAATTAAAATACCAAGTATTTAATTTGAACTCAAAATATTATGTCAAATGTAGATATTTAAAAAATACCTTCTCATTGGGAAACAGTCGGTTAGATTTTTTACCTAAGCTCTGTTCCTCAAACCTTTGCACCCTTTATTGAACCATTATTGAATTTGAATAAAATTTACCTATCTAGTGTTTACCCTGAAACGCACGAATCATAATTTGAAATCGGCTGAATCTCTCTGAGAGATACCATAAAACGCTGGTTTCACACAAACAGCAACCAAACACAACCACCCCACCTCCAGTCAAAAGTAAAAAACACAAAAACCCGTACGTAAATTAAAAATAAAACCGGTTTATTATCTAATCATGGAACTCACATTGACGGGCACCCTCATTCCTAAAACAACAACGTGTGGACTTTGATGGCCAATTTTCCGTTGTGCGCATGCTGTTTTCATTTACTAGACACAGCAAGATATTGGGCACATCAGTTAGTAATATGCACCTTGAACGGGGGGCTGATGTCAGAATGAAATATTTTTTGTTAAATTGTATTCTAATTAAAACCAAAAAAAACAAGTCAGTAGATGGGGGAAATATTAAGTCAGCTTGCACGATATGGGAACGGCATTCACCTTTCTTGAGTGTGTGCATTATATTTATAAGGAGAAATAAAATTCTGAAACTGATCGATACAAACAAATCATCACTCATCGGACTGTCTGTTTGATGTACAAATAGTCGAACAGAGAAACCGAAACTGAAATATTCCAGTGCATGTTTGTTTGCATTTAAAAAGGAATTGAAAACAAGAAGACTATTTTGTCATTTGTGCTGTCATTTTTTAAAGCCATAATGAAATAACGACACATGTTGGAAACTCTTTTACGAAATTAAGGTTAATTCACTTGTGTTTGGCTGGTATCTTACCATACACGATTACTTGCTGAACGCTTCGAAAATATCAGTTACTTTAAAATTTGGAAATGTATTTGTTTTCGTTCAAATTGTAATTCAAATATAAGAATTTTTCCGCTATTGCAGTATTAAACATAAGTGTGACTATGAACAAGTAGGGCCTACTTATCGTATTATTGTGGGTTTTTTTTAATTTTCGACATCGATTTTTTTTTATCAGATATCTTTTTTTTTTTTGCCGAAACACCGGAATGTTCCACAGTGATGATTTGTTTTTAAATTTTTGCTTCAAAGAAAAGCTAGAATTTCGAATGTGTTGCAAAACCTTTAAGTGTTTCGGAGATTTCCTGAGTAATGGTATGAGTATGATTTTCGCTTTTACTTGCTTTACGCGGAACCTAGTGAAAATATTTATTAGAAACTTTGAATGTTTTCAATACCGCTATACCGATTTTTTTTCTACCAAATTTAAGCCGCCTCTGCAATATATGTGCCAACATTTCAAACAATTGTGCCTTCTCTTGCTCAATAATTGAATGGATGGAGATTGCAAGAGTTAATCATTAAATTTTGGCTGAAGGTTATTACTGTTATTATTCACCTTTTATGCAATTTTCCTCAATTGTAAGGCGTAGGCACGTCTAGTCTGTAGATGTATATATGTGCCGAGTTCCTTACCGAAAATCTCGTGGTTTGGAAATCGCTTTTAATTTCCCCCATAAATTTTCATCTTAGTCCGGCAATCACATTACCAACACACGGTAATTCGATGTAAGGGTTGAAGTTCAACATTAATCACCTCTTAAATTGAATAAAACACAGCTCGGGGCAAGCACGTGATGATCAAACAAAGTGAAGGGATGAACCGAAACAACCCCGACTACAGCTTTTTTTCTATTTTTTTTTCATTAAGACCCTCTTTTCCATTATCGGGGGGAAAGAATAAATCGGGATGGTTATAAACCGTCCACTATAAATAGCGTGTTTCCTGAAAACAATTGCATGGCTGTGCCCTAATGTGATTTACCCTCACCTCCAAAAAGCTGTGAAGGAGATCGATGTGGTAATGCCATGGCTGTTTTCATTGGCGTATCCGGTGTCTTTGTTCTACGACAGTGCGACTCAGGTCATCCATCCTCTGCACCCCGGGTGGTTTCAACCTGTAATGGTGATTGTGTGCTTCCTAGATAACAGTTGACGTGGGCCTACCAAGTTGGGAATTGGTAACTGTTCTCGTCTCAAAGCCCCTTCTCACAATTTTCGAATTATTTTTTTATGTCACAGCTTTCAGCCGATTTGTCAGTTTCTACCCGAGATTTAAGTGCCGAGATAATATACAGAACCTGGCTGGAACTTTCAGATCAGCTGCCAACTGTATAGCGGGCAGCGGTGTCGTATTCCATTCATTAGGAGACCCTTTTATTGTAATTCGATAAAAGCTGCCTCTCTTCCGTCAATTTCTATATAACTGACCCAAAACAATCTCTGCAGTGACCACGTTTCTTTCTTTCTTTTTCTTAAGGGGGATGCACTTTCATTGACAGTTTGCAAAGCTTGTACTTTTATATGTGAAGAAAAAATTAATATAAATAAGTAAAAAAAAAAAAAAAAATGGTCAAGTCTATTATAGGCTACGTCGTGTCATCTCGCGGTTCATCGTCTTAACGATGGAGTAATTCTCCCGAGAAATCAATAGTTCTACATCAAATATGTGAAAGATCGAAAGCCTATATTATTAAAGAAGTGCTGCTTTGTGTCACCTCTGGACTTGAACTTTGACAGTCTCTTCTGCAGTTCCGGGCTGTTGTGCCTTGCGTACCTTTTTTGTGTGTGAGTTTAGAACCAACAACAATTAATAACCAGAATCCTGTCTTGTATCTGCCCTCTCTCACTATAACCACTGGAAGCGCCGCTACGTGTGTACATTACTTTCCTCGCAAGCCCGATCAATCAACTGGGGAAGCAACGTCGTGAGGAGGAATATCGGTGCGGAATAATGTGACAATTGCGCGTCACTTTCAAATCATATACAGGTGCAGGAGATGCAGTTTTGTGCGGATGATGAAAACAAGTGTTATGTTGCCTTTCCATTAAACGAACTTGAATGCATTTGATTTGTAGCCGTGTTTTGCCTTTGAGCGAAACTGTAGTAGGCCCATGTCTCTCCAAGTTATGCGCATTGGTGAGCTCGCATTCATGCGAATTTGTTTATCTCCATTATTGTGGTAAAATGCACCTTTTGCAAGTCACAAATTACGATCTTCGCTATTCAAAAGAAAGACAGTCATTTTGTAAGAGTACCCTTAAAAAAATATCATTTACATTAACCTCCTTTTACTTGCATGTTTGACGGGGAAAACAACCACAGAATTTATCGTGTTTTGTCGTATTTTGTTTGTCACCTCTTCGGAAAATCAGCCTTAACTCAAAAACCAAGTTATTTCGTTTTAAGTATTGTAAAGACAACCTAGAGAGTCTGCGCTGCAGACAGACCTTGTCCTGTCCTCGAGTCTGTATATGTTCTCCGCAAAGTCTACTTTTAGAATCCAATCATAAAAACAAGCCTCTCGATGAATTATTAAAGAGCTCCGCAGCGGATGCATACGACCTGCCCAATTCAATCACCGACTTTCATTATTGACAGTTTGTATATGACGGCCGCAGAGATCACCAATCGCGGGTTGGACAGTGTTTTATCTCTTGTTTATGGCTTTGAAGGGATATATATAATAAGCGCAGATGAAAGCCCTTTCCCCCTTCATTAGAAGTAGCAAGCATTAGCCGTGGGGTCACTCCGCTGAAGTCATTATTTGCATTTGATTCAGTGAGGACGCCAAAGGGGATATAGGGTGGTGCAGAAAAAAATGGTATACACTTTTTCAGAGCCATATTTCTCAAAAATTCAAGAGACATGTTGAAATTGATTTAAGATATTTCTAAACTACAAGATCTTCTGGTATATGGTGAGAACGGGTTGAAAATAATGCTCAATGTAAGAAATAGCGGCCATTTACAGACAGATTGTCAAAAACGAGTTTGTCCACGTCTATGGCAGTCATGTACACCTTATTATAATTATGGCAATTGTGTGTGTGCACAGTGCTATTGTGTTGACCATATCTCATAGACTTGCGTGTGGATACACTGGGTTTTGAACATCTGTCTTTAAACCATCAACATATCTTAATTTAGATTTTATTTTCAGCGCCGTTTTCACAATATACCACGAAGATGCTGTAGTTTAGGAATATCTTGAAGCATTTTAAACACGTCTCCCCAATTCCAAGAAACCAGCGTCTGGAAAAGTGTAAACATTGTTTTGGACCACTCTGTAGTAAGAAACTTGAAGTTTGGGGAGGGGAACAATAACACCCCGCCAAGGCCATCTCGAGGCATCACGAGGATTATGCAGGAGAATTGGCTGAGTTTTGCGGAGACAAATTGAGGCAATATTTTACAGGTGAATCAATGCACAATAAAGCAGACACTTTGGCACCGGGGGCACCTGGGTAACGGGCTGTTCGTGATCGAAGTCCCGACGGAATGTTATTCTCCCTGAAAACACGGAAAGGTCGGTGTCTGATGGAGTAGAGGAGCTACATGACACGCTTGTGGGTATAAAGAACAAAATAATATTAGTGTCGTCTCGAGCCCCTCTTTATGTCATGCTCGAGTGGTGATATTGAGACTGACTGTCTTTCACATAAATTGATATGCCCAGAATCGTCTGCGGCACGCAAACCATTTCAGAGAGCAACCGAATAAACGTCTGGAACCCTTCACCGATCCGTTTTAAGAACTTGCCGACATTACAGTTATTTATCAGCGATCGGTATTTTGTATGTTTAGATTTGGACGTGAGAACCCCCCCCCCCCCCAAAAAAAGACAGAAACGCTATTTCGTGTTATCTTACAAGGAATTTAAGAACCTTTTGTCGGATTTGTATGACTCATGAGTCGGACTCAAGTCCGACCCGAGTCCCATTTTCTGTGACTTGGACTCGGACTTGAGTCACGATGACAACTGACTCGGACTCGACCCTACCCTGCGGACTCGGACTTGGACTCGAGCTCGACCTGCGTAACTCGGGACTCGACCAAAATTACCACAAATCACTTTTTTTCCTCAATAATTACAAATTACATTTTGAAGACGATCCTCTCCTGAGCAAGCGACACTGCGATAAAGTCCGTGCGGTGCAGAAGAAACACATCTAAGTAATGTACATACACAGCGCGTGCGGCTGGCTTGTTTCCGATATATTGATTTGGGAAATCAATGTATCGAAACATGTACCCCAGCGTCTACACTTAATTTGATGATGCGTAAATGCAAACTTGATAGTGTTTGGTCCCAGATTATCCTTTCCATACACTGGTAACTTGCCTTATTTGACATGTTATACGTGTATTTCCAGTTCATTAAATTAAAGAAAAGCTGTGAAAAAATTGAAACATTTATACTGTGAGGTTTTTGTCGTACCTCAAACTTGATTTCCAATATATATTAATAGGTGACTCGTGACTCGGACTCGGACTCGACCTTTGTGACTCGGGACTCGGACTCGACCTTCATG